TAATGATTAACGACAAACTTTATTAATTCGATCGCGGATTAGAGACTCCACGCAGCAGCAAGGGTGCATGGAAAAAACAAACGAAATTCGCAAGGGACGATGCTGTGGGGTCTTGTAAGCGACACTATTTTACAGGGTTGCCAATTACAAAACTGTACGTACTAATAATATAACAGATTACCGAGTTTGGGCTCATGCAGCGTGTCGGCGATAAGATATTCAATTAATATTGCTATTATAATTAGATTATTACATAAGTAATTAAAATTATAATAATGGACCCAGATAGGTTAATTGATGATATTAATTGGATGAATGTTAAATCTCTTTCTTTTTATCCTTCTTTTGGTATGGACCCGTAAAACGGAATATTTCAGTAAAAAAAGTTTTAATAATAGTATGGATATAGATCCATTTTTCCTATAGGTACGATAAGTATTCAAAAATTCAGTAAGCTATAGGTCGGTCGCCGGTAGTGTTACATCGCTAGTCGCGCGCCTGCTGCACTGTATTTCGTCGTTAGAAGTCGCTGCGAGTCGATGCGACTGTAGTCGCGACATATAGCCGGCACACTGCACGAGCCCTTTTGACGTTGAAAATGTAATATAAACTTTAAGTGCGAATGTAGATTCGCAACCGAAGCGGAGTAGTCTTAACTTCTTTTTTGTTATTTTCTTTTTTTATAGTTCTGCAAATTTGCGCGCGAAAATATTTTTTCTTCATCATCATCATCAAATGATCACCGTAAAGATATAACAATTTCCCTCGAAAATATATTAGAAAATCAAACTATTGAAGGAAAATTACAATCTAAAATAAATTTTAATAAATCTAAAATGGGTTTTAGATTGTAATTTTCTTAATTAATAATAAATAATTTTACTACTTTTCTTTTTTCACAGTCTTCGCATTTGCGCGCGTAACATTTTATTTATTTTATTTATTTCTTTTATTTATCATTCATCTTTGTTTTATCTTTCATTTTATTTATTTATATCTTGGATCTCAATTATCTGCACGTATCGAAATTTAAATTTGAGCTTTGTTATTACAAACTATAGTTTTATTTTTTACACTAGTTTCAAACGTCATGCATATCGGTTGCGGAAAGGCCGAGTAATTCCATTTATGCATTGTGAGTGGATGCCATGACAACTTCGCCCCTTTGCTCGCTGTTCTTTCGAAATATATATATTTTTTTAATCATTAATAGTGACAATATTGTGCTGATATCATGACATCGCCATATATTGTGGTAAGGTGTGAAACAAAATTAGACTTAAAATAATATTAGATATAACACACGTAACCTGAAATGGAATTTGTTGATTAGAGGCAGTAGAGCTCCTTGTGAAAGAATTCTTCTAGGAAAGTAGGTACTGCCTTAAGTACGCTAATTACCTTAGGTACATATTTCTGCCACCAATCAGTCATGTGAGCATTATTGCGTACGGTTTTGAAGGGTGCTGGTGAAATTACGAGCACATGGAATTTGATAACTTGTCTCGGGGTGGCCGGCGTAGTGACAGCGCCTCTCAGATCTTTGCGACTTAAAGCTCTGAGTGACACTGCAACTGCTATGGACCGGCGTGTCGCTTACCACCAGGCGCATGACTTGTTCGTTCCATCCCTTGGTATCATAAAAAAGATTATATGGGATTATCAACTGCCGAAAGCGCAAGATGTAGAAACTGGCATACCATCTCTACATAACCTAGTTATTAGGTTACAACATCGAGTATATAACCCGAAACAGAGACGAAATAAGGGCCATCCATCTCCGGCAACTCATCAGGTAAATGGGCCTTATATCACTTTTAAATATCAACTCTCGTTTGCACTGATCACAAATTAGAAAGCTGAAATAGTAAAGCGCCAACAACTGACCTGTATTTATTGTAATAAAGATAATATCTCTAACTATATACAATAACTATAAATGTTCCATTCGGTGGTGTGTCAAAATTAGCAAAACACCTAACAAAACTAAAACAAACGGAATCACATTTCATCGGTAATTAAATATTGAATACATTGACTTACAATTATATTGAATATGTAATTTTTCAATTATCGTCCATTATAGCAAAGCTCAAGTTAAACTGGTCATTTTGAAGTGAAACAATTGACGACACCCGTCAATTGTTTCGAATTCACCGTAATGACATGGCAGAATACTTTTCAAGGAAATGAAATTAAATTTCGTCTCTATTTCTGGTTATATACTCGATGGGTTAAAATTAAGCTAAGCAACTATCGAATATGCAAAAGTACACTGACCTTACACACTTTGGACTGCCTAAACATAGTAGCATAGAGCTGAATATTAATGTTAATCGTAAAGGGAGACATCCCGTTATAATAATATCGCACACACTGAATATAGCGGCATTATGGAAACTCTGTGTCGCGGGTGCCATGGACACACACATAGACAACCACAACTTACACCCAAAGTCACGAGAGAAATAAATGTAGACCATACAAATATTTCTCCCGGCCTTCGAATCGAAATCGAACCTGGGACTTCTGCGTGGCTGTCCGGCAAGGTAACCGTTCGGCCACGGAGGCAGCAACAACGTAATTTTAATAGTAGGAAAGTTATTGATTACAAACAGTGTCTATGTGATGTAACTAAGTATTATTATTACCTACTTTCACCGAACAGTTAATCAATATTTTGCGTAGAGTCCTCCATAATTAAGTAGTCACAAATAAGAATGTACTACATTTTTAAATTCCATAAATTTTTTTGGCAACTTATACTTACTAATGTAACTTCTACTACATTAGCACAAGTTTTTATCTCAAACAAAATTACAGAAATTTTTAAATAAATATATATTGTGTCAACCCTATAGCATAAAATCTCAGTGTCAACAGAGGGTTTCGTATGCTTCGCCTCGAGGGATCCGTTAGTTTTTAATAAACGCTTTATTTAACGCGATCAGAGGACCCTCCCGCAACCATAATATTGTTTAGATCATGAACTAATGAAAATAAATTTGACTACTGTAACCCTAACCCGGGCTCATTAACCATGTCTTTTGTGTTTATAAAAATCATTATAAATGCTTTGCAACCTGTTTACCAAACTTAATCGATAGAGTGTACTATAAGCTGTACTGTAAGCAAGTACCTTTTCGATTTTTTTAATATACCAAGTGATAGGACCAACAAATCGTGCGCCGGACGGTACACGCGGTGGCAACACACCTGTCCATAGCAGTTGCAGTGTAACTCAGAACCTTAAATCGTAAAGATCTGAGAGTCACTGCCACTGCGCCCGTCACCCTGTGACATAAATTGACAAATTCCATGTGTTATAATTATTAATAAAAAGATCGAACACGGAACTAACCAGCGGACTTCACGAATTTTTCTAAGTGCTGGTTGTCAGATCTTTGCATTTGGTTTTTTAACAACTTTTTAGCCGTAGCGCCATCTAAGAGAAATCTATGAAAATATTTCGTCGCCAAGTTAGATTACCTTTACAGCTACCAGCCCTGGCTTAGTTGGCATAGCGTCTGCCACGATTTGTTAGGAGACGTCGGTTCGAATCCAGCCTGATCGAATGATTTTTTTCTAAATGTTAGATCTTTGTATTAATAATTATAATTGAATATCAATTCAATAAAAAATTAATTAAAAATCCCATGTGTCTATAATTTCACCAGCATCTTTACCTAAGAGTTCGGCCAGGGAAGTACTGCTTTACCTATTTTTGCCGCCAAGCCAACTCATGTGAGCATTAGCTATTGCGTCCGGTTTTGAAGATAAGGGTGCTGCTGAAATTACAAACACTTGGGACATATCAACTTATATCAGTGTGACGGGCGCAGTGGCAGTGCAGCTCAGATCTTTGCTTTTTAAGTCTCCGAGTGGCACTACAATAGGCGTGTCGCTACCACCTGGTACACGACTTGTTCGTCCAATAAAAAAATATTTATTTACAGGAGTGATTAAATAGTAGCTACAACACATTAACTAACTAGATCCTAGATCCTGATCTATATTATACAGGTGTCCCAAAACTCAGTGATAAGCCGGAACCTGCAGAACAGATTAATTTACTAAAGTATGCATGATCGGTGAAAAGGTCATTTTAAAGCGTTGCCGTGCATGTATTGATGACAGAGGAAAAACAATTCGAACACTCGTAGTCTGTAAAAATATAATTCTTGATCAGTTGCGCCAACTTTTGTAATAAGTTCTTATGGTAGTTGAGGTACATTTACATTTTACAGTATAAGTTGTCAAAGTTACCTTAAAATAATTTGTGTTAACAATTTTAGAAAAAATATTACTTATTTTAATTTTGATTCTGAAACTTTAGTCATTTGGAATTTCTTTGGCATTGTGTTCATTGCTTGGGCTGTTTGGGTTATCGAAACAAAAATTGGAACAGCAAAATTTGCAAATCTGTAATCGTAGCACAAAAATTAGTACTAAATTTTTTCAATTTCTATTGAAAAATTTTTATTGAAGAATGCTTATTTTCCATAACAAAATACTCCGATTTTTAAAATATTTTAGGCTTGTTACAATCTGGGCAACACCCTGGTTCCAACTTATCGTTGAGTTTTGGACAACCCTGTATAGAATGATATAGGACTTCACAAAATAATTATGTTTTTATTGTATGTATATAAAAGTGGAAAAACAAGGTTATAAAAATCGCTATCATTATACTAGTTAGGTACATTATGACGACATATGAGCAATTGTTTACAATTGCGAATTAAGATATCTACTTACACATTTATTTGATAAATGAAGTTGTCACAGCTAATTCTTCTTTGTGTCGTAATTGCACATGAACCAGACAAACAATGTACTTCAAATGTACTAATTCTACATAAACATCAACACGACTCTAACTGTAGTGGCAGTAGTTTATTGCCTGATAAGATTTGTTAAACATGATATCTTATCTAGACCATAAAGTTAGTTTTCCTTGCCTTATAAACTTCCCTTTCAAATGACAATTTAGTAGTGTCACTTTAAAATGGTTAACGTTATTGTTTATGTTCTGTTTGCATGCAGCGTAACAACAGTGCACTCGGCGATATATTACTCAAGTCCTGAAAAATGGAACAATCGCAGTCCAGATTTATGCAAGCCGTTGGTCATAGCCCACCGCGGCTCCAGTGGATATGTGCCGGAGCATACTCTGGGCGCCTACGCATTAGCCATCACCATGGGTGCTGACTACGTCGAGCCTGATCTCGTCATGAGCAATGATGGATTCCTCGTGGCACGACACGAGAACGAACTATTACTTTCCACAGATGTTGCAAACCGCCCTGAATTCGCCACTCGCTATAAAACTCAAACAATCGACGGTAGAACTGTGTCCGGCTGGTTTACAGAGGATTTCACATTACAGGAGCTGAAAATGCTGCGCTCTAAAGAAGTTATCGGCAAAATCAGACCTGGTAACACACGAATGGATGGAGCCTTCGACATACCGACATTCCAAGAAATCATTGATCTCGTGAAGGCTATGGAAATAAGTGAACGTCGTATAATCGGAATTTGCCCCGAATTAAAACATCCCACACATTTTCAACAATTAAATCTTGGTATGGAAAAGGCGGTTGTTGATCAGTTCCATGAGAACGGCTATGTCGGGGCAGATTCTGCTGCTTACATTCAATCTTTTGAAGTGAGCAACCTAAGAGAGCTTAAAAATTTAACTGACATAAAATTGATACAATTAATGGGTAACAGTTCTAGGCAGCCGTTCGATCAAGTGTTACTAGGAACTGGTCTAACTTATGGAGATATGGCCACAGCGGAAGGACTTAGAAATGTTGCAACTTACGCATATGCAGTGGGTCCTGATAAAAGTCATGTTATTCCTCGTGTAGGGAATAATTTAGGCGTGCCGACTAGTTACGTAGCAAATGCTCACGCTGCAGGTTTGAAAGTGCATCCTTATACATTCCGAGCTGAGAACTTCTATCTTCCATATGAATTTAGAAGTAACGACTCTTCTATTGCTGATATAGGGAATATGAGAGGCGAACTGCAAGTATTTTTAGCTACTGGCATTGACGGTTTCTTTACGGACCAGCCGGATGTCGCCGTGCAAATGAGAGGATCTTGTAAAGAAAATGTGCGTCCAAATAGTGGTACTCGAATTAGTGCACTTGCTTATAATTTACTCATTGCATATATTATCCATAAGGTTCTATGCCATAAGGTTTGAAAAAGTGGTAATCGGTTACTTAAAGCGGGTATAGATATACATATTGATATGTACCTCGGCAAAAGTTGTAACTGTCCAAACCAAGGACATCTATGTACTTAGGTACTAGTAGATTGATATCTTTGGTCAAAACCGTGAGGTAAATAACTTCGCAATAACTTATTTTCCTTACAGATCTAGTTTCCTATCTGTGTTAAAATATTTTCAATGATTATGAAGTTGAAAAACTAAATAGGCAATACTTCACTAGTAATAGCGAGTGCATTGTTTGGCCGATCAGATGATTTCTACCTTGTATTAATACGGTTATATGTAATAATATATATAATATAGTTGCATGAATAGATTAGGTAGATTAGGTAAATAGTATTCTTAATTAAAGGTACCAACCGGACCAACAGTAAAATACAGAAAAACAGAAGATGATTCTTGATGATTCTTCGGAAGTTACGATTTGAAATACCTACTGAAGCTCATCTACAAAACCCATACCGTATCTTTCACTACGATAGAACAAAGTTCGTAAATTATTACATTTGCTAAGGTCAATGATTTGCTAGTACATTTTCACCATGCACTTAATAAGCAGCATATAACCATATCTATGCACTGCAAATGAGAAATGCATACAATATGCAAACAATATGCCAAGCGATAAGTAGCGTTAATCGAGAAAATCTAAAACGGGGACACTGATCTCTTTCAGTACATACGCATATTGTTCGCACGTTAGGTCTCGCCGATGTTCGTCTGTTGGATGTGGTTAGGTGCTGCGGTCACATAGAATATTTATCAAATATTTTATTTGTTTTTGTGTAGGTGTCTGTTTGTATTGTTATGTGTTAGTAAATAATCCTTAATCGAAGCATTTATGATAATTATTAAGTCCTAAAATTAATTATGATTAAATTTTTCGCGTAAAGATTTTATAAAACTAATAAACCCAATGACTGATTTTAAAATACTTTCGATAGTTCAATGTCTAAAAGGCCGTATAGTTACATTTAAAGAAATAAACTTAAACATTCCCAAATTTTTTTATATATAATATCAAGTAACGGCACGAACAAGTCGTGCGCCTGATGGTAAGCTACACGCCTGTCCATAACAATTGCAGTGCCACTTAGAGATTTAGATCGCAAAGATTTGAGGGGCATTAGGTACCACTGCGCCCGTCACCCTGAGACATAAGTTGACAACTCCCATGTGCCTGTTATTTCACCAGGCAGCACCCTTAAACCCTTCAAAACTGGAACACAGTAATGCTGACATTACTGCTTGGCAGCAGAAATAGGTAAGGTGGCAGTACTACTCTGGATGAACTCTTTCACAAGTAGCTTTACAGCTACTAAAAAATCTAATACAAAAACCACGAAAAAAAATGTCCGAGGTTAACCTATACAAACGTAGTGACATGTAACGAAATATAAAAAACTAAAACATTTAATTTAAATTGTAACGTCATTGCAGTACTGCCTAAATTTGCTTACAACAATTTAAGGGCCCAAAAACACCATATTCAGCTTCTACTGGAAACTTAACAAAATGCACCATATTTAGCTTCGACTGAAAATTACTTGAACACAAGATCGAACACAAGGCCTTTCTCGTAAATATTAATTAATTTTTTTATATTTATTATTATGTCGAATTTTGTACAAATTCACTTAAAGGTCTAATAAAGAGTTGGGCAGATACATACACACCAATGTTACTACAAATGTGAAAATAAGCGTGTACTATGAGAGATGTACAAACTGTGTGAAAGCATTTTGTACTGCCTCCTGGGAAGAAAACTTCTTGTCACGTAGATAATTGTCCAAATCACGAAAAAAATGGTAGTCCGTTGGAGCAAGGTCTGGTGAATACGGAGGATGACGAATGGTTTCTAACTGCAGTTCCTGATGGGTCAAAATGGTTTCTCGTGCTGTGTGAGGTCTCGCGTTGTCGT